TGTGAATTATTTTTACCCCAAACTCCAAACTTTATTCATTAGTTTCTTCTCATTCAACATGCAGATGCAGAAGTGACAGAGTTAACAGACATGATATTATCTTTCCAACGAGGCAACACAAACTCTGTTGAGATCAGTTAAGATCAAAGAAGTAAATCTTAGAATGTCTTGATAAACTTAGACATGGAGAAATACATGAGCTCTTACTAAGAATAGCTTCCCTTAATGTTCAGTGGCATGACAGTTTCATGTGAGATTTGATTCTGTTTTTAATAATTTTAGCATCTAAAACCGATTAAAAACCTGCTATCAGCCATGCATTATACTTTTCATTCACGTTCTCATTTATGTATCACAACGAACGTAAAGGCAGATACTTTTATTATTCCCATTGGCAGATGAGCAATGAAGGCGACGAATTGTTCAACAACTTGTCTAAACAAAACAAAAGCAGGAAGTGATAGAACTGAACTTCAAAGTTAAGTTTGATTTAAAGTACCTATCTTTTAACTCTAAGCTATACCATGTCTTCAGTGTGGTACTAGTTACAGAAAGGGGAAAAACATGATTGACACCAATATCAATATCAATACCTATAGGCAGAGTATAGTCAGTTAAGTCCACTTTGCCCATATTCCAAAATTACCCAAACAAATCTGCTTTCAGATTTTTACTGGCACAATCACATAGTTGTATTTAATGACATTTGTTGACTCAGCAGACCGTCTCCTGTTTGCTTTCATTCTACTATCCAGCTTTCATCTCAGCCAGGGCCTGTTTAAACTAGGACACTATTTCTTCCCTCAATCCAAGGACCACATGATCAACAAATACATGAAAATAAACACAGTGCTTTTCTGTACCCAAAGAGTAGCTTAACTTGAATACTAGCTGCTGAGAAGGATATGATATTACCCTTTTATGGGCTCTAGCACATGGCCATTGACACACCAACTTCTGATTGACCAGCTGCTGACTGATATAACCAAGTGACTGAATAAACAAAGAAGTCAGGTGTATTTGCTCCTTTCTGTTCTAGTATAATTAGGGCTCAGACTTGGAACATATTCATGCTTTTCTAACATCATGAATACAGTATTGTTTTTTCGGTGTGACAGAACACTTTGGTGTCGGAAATTTTTCAAATCCCCCAAAGAAAGAGGATGTTCAGTATTGCTCATCATTTGGCATATCTTAGAAACTGACACATTGATTCTGCTGGTGATGTAATCAAACATAAGTTATTTTTTATTATGATGTCTTTGGAACTTCTAAGGTTCATTGATCATCTCGATAATTATTGTTATCTCACTTATTAATACCGTATCATTAATTCTCTGTCACAGAACACACTGTTGGTCCTTGCCTTCAGGAATGACACTGGGGACAGGCAGGTAGGAATTCTGGGTCAGCCTGTTAGAATTTCTGAAATGACCTCTCCTGGGGGGCATTCCTTTGGGATTAAGAGATGATTTCACAGGGACTCATCTAGAATGTGCTTGTTCCCCAGAAGTGATCACGCCACCAATCATTGACAATCCTTAGCATAGTACATAGCGTTGTAAGTTGAGCACTGGTAGGTCCTTCACTTTAGGAGAAAACTCAGGCTTACAGTGACTCCATGCTTTCCCTAAAGACACACAGAAAGGCATCGGGGACTAGAAAAGGAACTCGATTGTAACATTCTCTTCCAGACCTGCAATATCCTTGTTTCACTTTCTTCATTATTTGACCTAGACGACATGGTATGTTGCCAGGTAATCTCAGCTCCCTTACTCTCTAGTCCTTTAGCTGCACTGACCCTGGAAAGTACCAATCTTGAACTAATCCAACCAGCTGTCTTCACTGCTCATATGTTCATAAAGTATTGTTGGATAAAGTGAAACAACAGTGCAGATCAGGACCATGATGGGCGTGCAGTCTCCAGTCCCAGCGGGTCCTCAGCATGGACATATGGTCCTTCTACATTATCGGATCCACTTCTCTCATCTTCCTGAATGGGACCATTTCCTTGAGGTCCTCTAGGCATCCCTTACTTGTCACTTTCCCCCAATAATCTCACGTCCTATTTCACTGAGAAGTTGCCTACTTCACCTTTCGAAATATGGTAGAAATCTTGCCATTTCTGCTCTTTTTCTGTTCTTTAAGGTCAATAATATTTAAAGCAACTGTGTTTCCGCAAACATGGAGTGAGTTACTCTTTCAATATATGTTAGTATAAAACATTCATCCGGGACTTGGTGTCCTGGATTTCAGTGACAGCTGTGCCTGATCTGACTTAGTCATATGTCAAATTTGTGAATTCTATCTCTGTAGACATATGATTTAGAAGAAGAAGTTACTAAAATATACCTTAAGTTAAATCACTTGAGACTCAAGAACTTCTAGGTATGGTAGTTATGGGGTAATTTTAAAACTGGAATTTGGACGGGAGTTCTTTGTGCGTAGCATGTTAACAAATTCAGGGTTGCTTACATGAACTACTACACTCCTACAGAAAATCCCACTATACACTTAACACTCCCTGATAAAGCGTTAAATATTATTGAAGAATGTGGTTAAGGCGAATGTTCAGTGAAATGTTGACTATTTTCATACATGACAGTTTATAAAATTTTCCTCCTTATGGTTTGATACTGAGCTCATGATTGAAAGTATTACTAGTTGAAATGATTCAGAAAGATAGTGACTTTTCCCTTTGTCTTTGAATATTAGGAATATCAATTGAATTAAAACTATAACGATACACTATTAATTCTACAAAGTTGGTTATTAATTTTATTGAGGAACTCCTATGCCGATGGTTGGAAAAGAACCCATGGAATACTCTTGCAGTATTTTAATTGTGTCAGTTTATTTTGTGATATATTATGCTGCAGATGCCTTGATTCATTCACGCTAAAGGACTTAGGAAAAAGGTATACCATCTAAAAAGCCTCTTCCCATTATTGCCTTCTGCCAAGAATAGAGAAAACAACTAGAGGTATTTTGTGTAGAACAATTTCATTACTTTCAATAGTGTTAAAATAATCACATATTAATGTGTTTTTTTGTACCAATATATCCCATGTACTTCAACATTTAAAATTTTAAGGATTGTGTTTTCATGATAATGTTTATTCTCAGAACTGGTAAGTGTAGTTAATGAATGTTTGCTCTTCCAGGCCTGGTGTTTTGGCTAAGGCTGATGTTAAACCCATATTAATTTACATTTTTTAATAATACTCAAATACTCTCTTTGAGTAGGCTAGGCAAAAATATTTTTTTGATTTTACAGCCTAATTAAAGCAGTAAATAAATTATGAACAAATAAACAAGGTTGGGGTAACAATCTGGCTATTTTATTTAGAAGTCAGGGTTTTGGCTTTGTTACATTTATGCCACCATTTTTGAAGTTTTCAAAATAAACAGTGTGCTTCACCTGTAAAGTTTGGAAGCTACAAATCTTCTCTTTCTAGAATATAAATTAGGAGGTTGGGTTTGGTTTTTCTTTGTGCACGAGATTCTAATTTGGACCAGAAAATCAATTGTCCTGCTCCTTGTAAGACTGGATTTCAGTAAATTTTAGTATTTAACCATGTCATTTTTATGTAACTTCATGGTTTAGAATAGCACAAATAAATTTATAACAATCCATAAGTCCAGACGTCCAGGTGCTGCCTTTCCGGACATCCGTTGTATGATCAGGAAGTATTAAAATAATCTGAAGCCAATGGTAAGTCTTTCTGGCTATTATTAGCTATTTGGAAAGATCTAGATTCTCTTTTATCTGGAGCTACCTTAAAGTATTAGTTGACAATTAGACATTTAAATACATTTGAAGATACTGTTCTACTCATGTAAAATAGAAAAAGAAAGCAACAAAACAACATAAGTCTATGAAATCCGACTGTTTGTGAAGAAAGCTGTATCTTGTTAGCATGTGAATTTTGACCTTGTGGTTCCAGAAATTCTAATGAACCACAAAATCTAAGCTATGTTTCCCATCTACATACAATATATTTTATTACCTTCACTTATCTATACAATACAAACCTGTTTAGTTCTTTGGTAAAGTAATATGAAGGGAAAATAATGCATTTGAGTGTGTCATAAATCACAGAACCTTTTTTACTCTACTGTAATACATTTAATTTGAAAACTCTGTAGTATCATTCAATCTGCTTTCTCGTGTCTTTGTAAAAAGATTTCAATGAAGCCCCCAGTCACTTCACAAGTCACCTATTTTCCTATCTTTCTTCCTGATTTGAAATACCCTAGTCTCAGTTTCATAATACGCTGGCCAGAAACTGTGGACATTCTTGCTACTGCAACAGGTGTTTGTCAGTTTCTTAAGTTGCTTTCCTTTCCCCTGAGGTGGTGTTATTTCCGGTACATTCCAAAGGCTCTGAAAAAAACCTTTCACAGTCTCTTGCCAAACCAAATCATGGCTCCAGCCTCTAAGTTATTGAGAACCCATTGTTCTTCAGGCTTTTATCTTATAGGCGCTTGTGTGCGTCTTTCTCTAATTCCAATGTGGGAGGAACTAAAATATTGATTAAGAGTTTTGCAAATCTGAAACTGAAAATGGAAATGATTTTTGTTCAGAAGCAAACACTCTGGATGTCTGGGAGTGCGGTTGATTATATTCCCGGCAAACCTGATGTGAAAAGGTTTTCATCATCCATTTAGACCACCCTGAAGTTTGACATACACATAAACAAACTGACCTCGATAACTTGCAGTCTACCTGCTAATGTTTCCCCTATAAGTGAGGGCTCCACATTCACTGAAAGGCTGAACTTTTTATTGCAGAACTTAAGCAGAGGAGGGATAGCAGTAGAATGGAGACCATCAATCAATTGCTTATTTATACAGTTTTTTCCCTCTCCATATACTGCACCCCTACTTCACCAAGTAAAACCCAAGCGTGCCATAATATGAATCAGTCATGATCGGAACACACGCATGCACCTCAGAACTATGATAAGGCAAGAGAAGACAAGATTGCTCAAACCAACCTTTTGGAAGTTTCTCAGTCCCGCTGAAGGCAACCAAAGTAAGAATATGTACCAGTGGAATGTTGACAAGCTCTCTCATGATTAATCCAGGCTCAGGCAGGAGAAAGTTCTTTCTGGACAACACAAGGAAAATGCGCCCCCCCCCCCAGTTTACATTTTAAAGCATAGTTTGTTCCAAAAGGGTCGTCTGCTAATGACTGTTTGTGTCAGCAGCTCCACTGACTCTAAGTATAATCAGGAATTCTCAGACTTGGCTGTAATGATGGACACGGCCAGCTGGTGAGTATCCACTTAGGCCAGTAATGCAAGTGTAGGGCTGGAGGAACAAGGGAAAGAAAATCCCTTTAGAATCCCTTTTAAGACAGTGGTAGAAGGACAATACCAGATGCCTTTCACAACCATCACTGGATTCCCCGAGGTATAGTTTTCCTGGTCTTCTGAGTCAGCTCACCATCCCTCCCGCACTCACCCCAGGGCCCTGGGCATATCTAATCATGACTCCTCCCCATTTCTCACTTCCCCCTCCCACATCCATCCCGTTAACAATTCCTACAGATTGCACCAACTCGATATTCCTTGATTTCCTCCCCTCCTTTGATTCCAGCTAGTCTCACCCTATCCCAACCTCCCTTTCAGACATTCATCTTCTTGGAATGACAGTGGTAACCTCCTGTCTGTTCTCTCTGTCTTGTGTCCTACTGTCCTCTAATCTCTTTTCAGATCGTCTGCCCTACTCAAAAGTCTTCAGTGGCTCTTCATCATAGAAAAAAATATTCAAACCTAATATGACGTAGGAAGGCTCGCTGGACTCTGCCTACCTGTTTAGCCCCATCTGCTACAATCCATGCCTCTAGTTTAGTATTTAGCAACGTGGTTCCCTGTATACAGCCTTCCTGCCTCCATGAATTGTTCCTACTGTTCTCCCGTCTTGGAATGCTTTCCCCTCCTCTCCACCCAGTTAATACCTATCTCAGCTTGATCATCATCTCCTCCTGGGAGCCACCCTGGACCAAAACTCCCACATCTTCCCAAAGTTGCATTAGGTTTACCGCCTCTGGGCTTCTCTGTCATTGCACTTACCACATGGTTTTAAGATTTTTTTCCACTTGTGTTGGTGTCTCCCTCATTCTTTGGCTTCATGAGTCCACAGAGTCAGCAGCCATGGACTGTCAATTGCAGCAGATTCTTCCAAAATGTTCTCCTATGCGAATTGCCTTTTCCCACTGGAACAATGTGTCTTGGAGACTTTTCCATGTTAATGTACAGCACTACCTCATTATTTCTATTGGCTACACAGATTTCTAAATCGTGGATGTATGATGGTATATTTAACCATGCCCCAACAATGTCTGAGAGAATCCATTTCCCCATACTCTCGTCGACACTTACCTTTGAATTTTTACATTTAAGTAGAATAAAAAGGGTATGTCGTTGTTTTAATTTACATGTATTCCACTCTTACTATTGGTAATGAGAATTTTTCAGGTGTTTCTTATTCATTTTCCTCTTCTGTGGCTTTTGTCTATTTTCCTCTTCGGTCATTTTTCTTTTTCTTATTAATTTATAGGAGTTTTAAAAACTACTCTGGTTGTAAATAATTTATATCATTGGTCCATTGTATATTTTGCAAATATTTTCTGTGTAGAACAGCTCTACTACCTAGCCATAGTGATTGCTTCAGAAATGGGCTTAGGGCTCAAGCTGGTTTACGGCTCAAGGTCTCTATGGTATTTTACTGGACCTAATACAAAACAAGCTCCTCTTTCTTAGATCACCGCCTGTGAGGACCAGGAAAGCCAAGGTTGTTGGAGGTTTCATGCTTCATTAACAAGAAATAGTGTGCAAAGCCAGAACGATCCATTGGATTTCCTTGTTTTTGAAATTAATAAATTCCTTCTTATTTTTTTTTTGCTTGGCTAATATGAATTTGATTCCTTAAATTGCAATCAAAATAATCCTGATGTGATTTTAATAGAAGAGATATAAATTTGGTGTGGTTTCTGCTGTGAGAATACCCTGCAAATGCTACGTACTTCGTGGGAAACTTTGACATTAGCAGGATGAGCACTTTTTTTTTTATGTGAAATTTAGGAATCAGCAGGATGAACAGAGTGGCTGTGGTTCCCATAAGCAACACTAGGGAAAGCACAGGGTCTCAGAGATTTGGGTGACTATAGATTTATGAGCTAAAGTTAAGCTCAGGATCACCACCAGCTGTTAATAAAGGGAAGTCCAAGGTGAGTGATTCAAGGGGCCTCTATCCAAATGTCCAGGAGGAGGATTTGGGAGTGACCACTCTCCATCCTCTTCCCCTTTCCCCTAAAGTGTAGAACAAGCACTGATGGTGCCCATTTTGAATCCAACAGGAATTGTACCCTCTAGACCAGTGACCCCAGGAAATTATCCCCTACTTCAAATTCTACCACAACCTGAGCCTGAAGATGCAACAGTGCTGTGCGAAGCTAAGGGGAAACAAAACTCTGTTGAGGGAAATCCAGAATGTGTGGCTGAGGGCTGGTTTAAAATGAATCACTCTATTTCTGTTTTGCATATAAGTTCATTTGTATCTTTTTTTTTTTAGATTCCACATATAAGCGATATCCTACGATATTTTTCTTTGTCTGCCTTACTTAGTGTGATCATCTCTAGGTCCATCCATGTTGCTGCAAATGGCGTCATTTCATTCTTTTTGATGGCTGAGTAATAGTTCACTGTATAAATAAACCACATTTAAAAAATGATACACGTGAACTTACATGCAAAACAGAAATAGACCAACAGACACAGAAAACAAACTTATGGTTACCAAAGGGGAAGTGGGGGAGGAATAAACATAGGAGTTTGGGATTAACAGATGCAAACTATTATATATACAATGGATAAACAACAAGGACCTACTGTATAGCACAGGGAACTATACTCAATATTTTGAAATAACCTATAAGGAAAAAGAATCTGAAAAAATATATATATGTATGTATGTATAACTGAATCACTTTTCTGTATATCTTAAACTAACACAACATTGTAAATCAATTATACTTCAATTGAAATAAATAAATAAAATGAATCAACTGTTGGCTAAGAGAAGCCCCTGGGGAGTGTGGCTTAGGCATGGACGCTGCAGCAGCTCCCAAAGTGTAGCAGCTGGAGGTCGTCAGCCAATTATGGTCCTTGCAGCAGTTTCTTGGAAACTGGATAGAAAATGGCCTTCCATCCTATAATACAAGCAAACCTATTCCTTGTAAAGCAGGCTCATTCAGCCACAGAGAGTGGAGACTGGGTGCCAGCCAGTTATTTGGCTTCTTTCTTGGGCATGTGGAGAGTAAATGGGGCTGATGGCCAGTCTTCCCTTCAGTAAAATGCACTCAGTTACCAGGTAAGCTTGTCTTGCCACCTCTGGTATCTCTGCTTCTTCATCTCAAGAGCCGGCCACGAGAGCAAGTAGCACCATGCTGAGCCACATCTTGGACTTGATGCCAGAATTCAACCATACAGCGGCTGATGAGGCCGGCCCCATTCCTGCTGGAGTCAGCACATCCCCCAGTTAGTGCCGCTGGTCTGCACCCTGCTCTCATACATCTGCTGAGGCTTGGCAAGGAGCCCCTTCTAATTATCACAAAGGGCAATGACCTGGTTCTCTGCCTCACTGGTCGGCAGACAGTGGTTCAGAAATGCCACATGGATTGCCCTCTCCAGAAAATTCCTGGGAAGTCAAAGGGATATTCTAGAGTTCTATTTTTTACAAATGGATTTAATGTCTGATTAAATATTAGGATGGCAATTAGAGGTACATCAATATTCTGGGAACATATACCTTGTAAAATTGGGAGGGACTCTTCAAATGTTTATTCAATGAATGAATGAATTATATTAACTACCTACTGTATGCTGAACATTCAGCAGGGATCAGTGGAGCAGGAAACAATGTCTGGTGATAGAGTGAATATTATACGATAACATTAATAATTAACTAAGTTATACTCTGGAGAGATACATTGTACTGTGAAATTATATAAGAACTGAGCCTGACCTACTCTGAGGGCTCAAGAAATGCTTCTCTGAGAAGATGGTAGTGAGGCTTAAACCCTGCAGGATAAGTAAAAGTCAGACAACTGAACCAGGGACGTCTGGGGGTGGACCATAACAGGTAGTGGGAGAAGAATGTGGAAATGACCCAGAACATGAAGGATGTGATGTGATGGAAAGAAAAAGGGTCAGTGTGTTTGGAGTATAGAAAGTGAGGGTAAAACCTACAGAGGCAGGTAGAGGAGGTCATTCAGGATCTTGTATATTTCAGTAAGAACTTCATTCTAAGAGCAGGAATAACTCATGGGAATGTAGATCACAAATAAAGCTATAAAAGTGAATCAGCTATGCTAAGGGGAGAGTGTAGAAGGACAGGAAGCCCTAGAACTGAGCCATGAAACATCCCACCCTTTAAAATTCAGTAGAACATAAAGAGCTAGAGAAAGAGATTGATAAGGAACAGCTAGCGAGATAGAAAAAAACTGATAGAGTGTCACAAAAGGGAAGGGAAGGGAAGGGAAGGGAAGGGAAGGGAAGGGAGCGTTTCCAGAAGGAGAGCCTACTTTCCAGGACTGTTCTGAATGCTACTGAGAGGTCAAGTAAGAAGGAACGGAAAGGTTTCCATTGAATTTAGCAACATAGAAGTAATTAATGACGTTGATAAAGGGCAGTCTCAGGAAACAGTGGAGAATGAGGTGAGAAATCAGAGTAGTATAGAGAGATGGAAGAGTGAATAAGAGGTGTGAAAATGGAGACAGTATGGAAATATGATTCTCTCAAGAAGGGTGACTTTGAAGGGATAGAGAAAGTTAAGCAGCTGGAGGGAGAGGCTGGATGAAGACAGAATTGATTTTTCATTTATTTTGAAGGTGTGCTGTGAAGGATCCTGTAGAAAGAAAAGAGGTTAAAGACACAGGAGAGAAAAGAGATAATAGACAATTCACGGTCTCAAGGAAACCAGGTGGATAGGATCTTGTAATAGAAGATGATGAGGATAAGTAGGGGAATTTTTGGCAGGAACGGCAAAGAGTTTACTGAGCCCTCATCTGATGACTTCTATCATCTCTATCAAGTAGAAGATGAGGTTGGA